GATATTTGAAGTTGTGTCTTTGCATCTTTATGTTTTCTTTGAGGGGGACATTGTGGGTCTGCGTGTTTCCATCTAAGGGGAGAAACCAATTGCTCAGTTTTAATGGGGTTACTTCTGGTTGGGTTGGGTTGGGCAGAAGGGTTTGTTAGTTATATAATGTTTCTTTCTTTGAGTATTGTGTGACATACTTCCATTTGTCTTCCTTCAAGGGTTTATCAGTAGGGTCAAATCCTCTGGGACTTATTTGTTCATTATTTGGCTCAGTTTGGGTATAGCTTTCTTTTGTAGATTGGGGTTTGGCTAGAGTTGCCTTTAAATTAGAGGTCCCCAACCTTTTGGGCCCCAGGGACTACTTCTGTGGAGAGAGTTTTTTTCATGGACTGGAAGGGGTGTGGTTTCACATGCTGCCTGCATCCTGCAGATGGGGCTTCGCTTGTTTGCACGGATCGGTTTCTGGCATGCCACGGACTGGTGCCAGTCCACAGACCGGGGGTTGGAGACCTCTGATCTAAGTGCCTTACTTTTTCCTCTAATAGTTCACACAGTTTACATCTAATGCATGTATAATTTGGGTGTTCTTTGGGCATCAGCACATACAAGGAAAATATATTGCATACCACAATAGTATCAGTTGCCTGTTCCATGAGTTTGTTGTTGAAGATCCTTCTTTTTGGTTGTTGGATGTGCTTTGCTGATAGCCTTGTTTCTTCCTTCTCTGTTCCAGTCTATTGTGCTGTTCAAGTACAGATCATAACTTTTATATCCTTAGATACATGTAGTCCTCGACCTACAACCACAATTGGGACCAGAATTTATGTTACTAAGCAAGGCAATTGTTAAGTGAACCATACCTGATTTTACAACACTTTTGCCATGGTTGTTAACTGCCATTGCAGTTACTAAGTGAATCACATGTTTGTTGAGAGAATCTGACTTCCCCCACTGACTTTGCTTGTCAGATGCCAGCTGCAAAGGTCAAAAATGGTGACCACATGACTCTGGGATTCTGCAACCTCATAAATACTTGCCAGTTGCCAGGCACCCACATTTTGAACAGGTGACTTTGGGGATGCTGTGACAGGCATTAAGTGCAAGGACCAGTCATAAGACACATTTTCAATGCCATTATAACTTTGAACAGTTACTTAATGAATGGTTGTAAGTCAAGGACTATCTGTATCTTCCCTGAGTAGTTTTTAAAGAACTGACAGCACCTATTCAATGAAGGATTAATGTTGCTTAAATTTTTGTTCCCTTAGCCAAGATCTGATTTCTTCCAATATGAAGTTATAGTCTCCCAATTACAATATTAGATTCCCAAGATACCAAACCTTGGCACAATGACCTAGGAAGTACCTCCTTTAAATTTTGTGGGATTTGTTTTCAAATAAACCTGAATAGAATTGTATAATTCACAGCTTGAGTCATTTACAAGGAACAGGAGCTAGTAAATATTGAACAGTATGTACTTTATTAGGAAGCAGAGAGTCAGGAACAACCTATAAAAGCAGCATGACAACCAGTGTCTCAAAAATTTAAACTTGGGCCCATGGCTTCTTCAGTGAATGGCATCAAATTCTATTTTAATATGATAAACAAAGGAAACAATTAGATACATGGAAATAACTCCTATTACTCTATGTATTTATTTTTTATTAGAATCCAAAATTTCTGCCCAGGCCATGTCCACTTTTTGAAAAGCAATCGCTGGCAGACCCCTCAAAAGTCTAGGGTAGTCCTGATCTGAAGTAGTCCCTGTTGTCATTTCTCCTCCATATCGCTTACATTCTTAATGGCCAAATGACTAAAACATATGAAGGACAGTTGCAGGAATAGGTATGTCTAGTGTAATGAAAAGAAGGATTGGGGAATCACATGATAGAAGTGTTCTAATATCTAAGGGGCTGCCACAAAGAAGACGGGGTCAACCTGAAGGCAGTACAAAAGGCAATGGATGGAAACTAATCAAGGAGGAACCTAGATAGAAACTTCCTGACAGTTAGAACAATTAATCAGTGGAAGGACTTGCCTTCAGAAGTTGTGGTTGCTCTATCACTGGTGATTTTCAGACAACCATTTGTCTGAAAGGGTATAGGGTTTCCTGCTTCAGCAGGGGGTTAGACTAGAATAGAGGTCCCCAACCTTTAGGGCATCAGGGACCGGTTCCATGGAGAGAGGCTTTTCCGCGGACCAGAGGGTTTTGTGTGCTGCCTGCATCCTGCAGATGGGGCTTTGCTTGTTTGTGCAGCCCGGTTGCTGGCATGCCGCAGCCCGGTACTGGTCCACGGACTGGGGGTTGGGGACCCCTGGACTAGAAGACCTTCAAGGTCCCTTTCAGCTCTATTATTCTGGCTGAGATAGAAATACTGATGGATTACACACACTTTGAAACACAAATTATGTTTAAACTATCATATGAGGAGATGCAGTTGGTTAGTAATGGCCCTTTAATGATGCCTTCGGAGGAGCCATCTGAGATCAGACTTCTTTTGATAAGGCTGGCCCTATTTCTAATGCTGGACTGGACAGCAAGTCATTTTCCAAATATTTCACAGAATCCAGTTCTTGCTCTCTCACTGAACTTGGAGTTTACACTTTAACAACAGGCCCTCTTGCTCTTTTCCCACTACAGAAATAAATAGAATCCACCAACTGACACAAATCTTCGCCATAGCAAGAATCTTTTTTTTAAATGCCTACAGATTAGTGTTTATACAACCTGTCAGAGGCTGAAAGCCACAAAGATGATGGAAAGTTTTCTCTAGCTGTGTGAAACCAACCTTTTGTCTAGCGTCAAAACCAGCCAGAGAGAAACTCTTGGCAGGTTGTTTATCTTAGCAGACAATCCCCCGTTGGAAGGCTCATCTCTATTCTTGCTTGTTAAGAAACATAAAGTCTTCTCTGTGCTTCCTAATTCTGCTTCAGAAGAGCCTTTACAGTCATGCCCCTAACACTGGCTGTGGAATTCTGGGAGTTGAAGTCCATATGCCTTAAAATTGTCAAGTTTGGGAAACACTGCCCTAACAGGAAGGGAAGCTTGAAACAAACAAACAAAAAAAACTTTCTATCTTTGCCTGATCACAAAAATACATCTAGAATGAGGAGAAACGTATACTTGTATGGCAAAATATTGGGACATTAAATGCTGTTTTGAGATTACACTGTGGCTTAAAAAACAAGGAATAATATGTCAAATTGGTAGCACTGGATAGTAAACTAACTAATTTACACAAAGAAGAGGGTTCCCCCCCCCAGATATGGAACATATCCATTTATTCACCAAACCACATGTGTGCTGGCCCTTTGTATGAGTAAGAAAATGAGTGCAAAATACCGTAGGTGCAATAATAATTCTGTTTCTTTTTAATAGTAATTTTATTAAAGATCATAATGACACTAGTAAAAACTAATACAAACTTTAAAAAAGATAAAAGAATAGAAAGAATAGAAGGTGCAGAAAAGAAAAAAAGAAAAAAAATAAGAAATGGAGAAGAGGAATAGAAAAGCAAGAATATAATAAAGAAAACATATATCTAAAGACGTGACTTCGTGGTGCAGAGAGTGGTGAGAATGGCCGAAAAGATCATTGGCAGTTCCCTTCCTCCCATCCAGGACATAGCACAGAAGTGTTGCTTGAACAGGGTCCATAAGATTATCTGGGACGCTACACATCCTCTTCATGACCGGTTTTCCTTGTTACCTTCTGGGAGGAGGCTCCGTGGTATCTGTAGCAGAACATCCAGATTCAGCCAGAGTTTCATTCCGTACAGCATTAACCTTGTGAACTCTCAAGCTTCCTCCTTCTGTTATATATTCAAGATGGACAGTATTTAATATTTATTTGTTATGTATATGTAGGAGTGTGGGTCTATACATATGTTGTACATAGTATGTTTTAGATGTGTGTCATGTATGTGTTTCACTTTGAGAGCGGGCAACTAAATTTCATTTTTGATGTGTGCTGTTGTGCCCACAGTAAAAAAAATGACAATAAAGGTTATCTTATCTTATCTTATCTTATCTTATCTTATCTTATCTTTTTATCGCATGTTTATAAAACACACAAAATAATCTCTTCTTCCCATATCTTACCTCGTATTTATAAAGAAATCCATAAAGCATAGACATTGCAGTCCTAGTGTCAGCAAAAGTCCATTATTAAGGTTTACAGAAACAACAATGTATCTATTATCAGTCAACCTTGCTTAAATAAACCAACTTTATATTCCTTTCTTTTACCTCTAACTATTCTAATTCCTTCCTTTTTACCTCTAACAATTGAACTTAATGTTATAGAACATTAAGTTCTATAATGTCATAAAACTTAATTTATTTTCATTTTTGTCCCTTGTCACACAATTCCTCAAAACTCTAATAAGCATCTTCTATAAATTCAATATATTTTGATTTATTGTTTTTGTTGTTGTTGTTAATTGCGAAGTCGTGTCCAACCCATCGCGACCCCATGGACAACATTCCTCCAGGTCTTCCTGTCCTCTATCATCTCCACCATTATTGTTTCTATATCCCTTTTAATTATTAAAACATCAGCCGGTCTTCTTTGTGTATCCAGTGTAACATCTTTTTCCATGTAATTATTGTAGCCTGTCATTTGTAAATCCACTTTCAACTCAGTCTTGGTTTTTTTCTCTTCCATAAAATCTTTTAGATACAGTATTAATATACTGTATTAATATACAGTATTTAGATACAATATTAATACCAATTTCAGAGATCTTTTTTTTTCTTTTTCAAAAATACACTTTAAGATGTTCAATGTTACAATAATTTGCTCCATTCTGTAATTGTAGGATCGAGCTAATGTGTTCTTTTCATTATAATTTTTAGTTTCCTCTAGTCAGGGGTGTCAAACTGCCAGCCCACGGGCTGGACACATCACCAGGAAATGGCGCCCACCCCATTGCCGGCAATGGAAAAAAAGCTCCAATACGTTGCACGGTGTCACGTGATGTCACAAGTTTGACATGTCTGCTCTAGTGTCTCATTTTTTAAATTTTATTTTTTAAACAAAATTCAAAACAAAAGCTTCTTCCCATGGGAAGGATTAAGGATTAATTCGAAAATCTTATTTCAAATTTTGTTGGCCCCCAGTCCATTTGTAACCTTTTAACATCAAAGTTTTAATCAGTTTTTTGTTGTTTATTAGAAAAATGTAAGTACTTAAACCTGTGGTTAAAACTTCAGTTTGCTAAGGATAGAAGGGAAACTCACTTGCTGCTTTCAAACTTGTCAGTACAAAATCTCCCAATAACTGAAAAGCAATTAACAAGCAATTTCCAAAAGTGTTTAGAAAAGAAAATATGGGTTCTTTCAAAAGTGCCAAGTGCAGTTTGAACAAGATAGCTATTCCCTTGTCTCCCAGAGCATTAAACCCTCTGGAGACTTCCATCTTTTGGTCTCCTCACAAGGAGCAAAAGCAGTTGTTTGGAGCACTTGTGGGCAATCTCAAGCCCTCTCCTTGTCCAGACAAGTTTGAAGAGGTGGTCTATCCACCAGGTCTTTGTTCTTTGCCACAGTCATCAGTTCCACTTTTTATGGAGCCATCTTCAGTCTGCCAGGAGCAATAAAGAAATCCTACAAGCCAATGTGAATCAAGAATTAATTAAAAATACAGATTCCCCCCCCCAAAAAAAAACCCCTCCAGATTCCTCCCACTCATTTATCTTTTGTTCAGAACTCAGGAGATATCCCACATGTCTGAGCATCTTTGAGAAAAAGCAGGTTACTTCCTTGATGTATCTACTTAGCCAGGGGACCAGAGGACTAAATTTTTTAAAACTCTCTACTGATATGACATTTTGATGCCCATAATCCTTAATTAACTGGGATATATAGAAATTACTCCAATCTATCTCCAATCTGGGGGTAGAGAAAAGATGAGGAAAGAAAATTGACATACATTTTACTGCCCGCAGATCTATCTTTGTCACATCTCAGCAACAAGGCCAGATAGCGGTGCTGTCTTAAACTTTGGGTTACAGGGGTGTTTCAGTACAGTGATTGGTAGATTCCTGATAGCCACCCACCTAGTATCACCTATTTAAGGAAAAAGAAACCACCCACCACTATCATTAGCATCTGATAAGGCAGAATTGAAGGGGCAAACTATAATTTTACTATTTTTGCTTAGACTTTTTGCATTTATTGTATGCTTTGTGTGAGAAGCTGACATGGAATAATCTGTAAGACTTTTTATATAGCAGTCACAGACATTTATTATTCCTATGTTGAACCCCCTCAACCCCCAAACTTCTGCCTCAGTGATTGGAAGAATCCATTCAACATAGACAGCAGAAAGTCTGAACCAGAGTGTTCTCAGTTCTGTTTGTGTTTCTGGGTCTTTTTTCCCTCTTCCTTTCTCCTTCCACTCAATCCTAATCAACTTTAATCAAGCAAAGAGGGACCTCTTGCTCAACCCCATACCACACGCATGTATGTATTTGTGTGCCTGTTTGTCACACATGCTTCCCTATTTTAGATTTTCTCAATACACCCATACAAACACATACACTATTCGCATATCTCAAGTGGGATTCTAGATGGACAAGTCTACCAGTCTTCTGAGAGTCTAATATTTCCATATGTCCAGCTAAAGCCAAAATAACACCATGGAGGCCCAGTGCTCAGTAACTGGATAGGGAAAGGGCATTTCTGCAGCAAATTTCTCCAGCCAATTAGAGTTGAGTAGATCACCATCCTTAGATTGTTGACACAGGAAGTTTTATTCTGGAAAAAAAAGAAAAGAAAACACCACTGCCAACCAAGAATGACTAGATTGTTTCAGTTGTCTAGGAATGAGATGGAGGCAATGTCAGTAAGGAAACACCAAAGCACCACAATCTAAGGATCCTTAAGAGTGAAACTTTAATGATGCATTCAAGGATGGTGATCTACTCAACTCTAATTGGCTGGAGAAATTTGCTGCAGAAATGCCCTTTCCCTATCCAGTTACTGAGCACTGGGCCTCCATGGTGTTATTTTGGCTTTAGCTGGACATATGGAAATATTAGACTCTCAGAAGACTGGTAGACTTGTCCATCTAGAATCCCACTTGAGATATGCGAATAGTGTATGTGTTTGTATGGGTGTATTGAGAAAATCTAAAATAGGGAAGCATGTGTGACAAACAGGCACACAAATACATACATGCGTGTGGTATGGGGTTGAGCAAGAGGTCCCTCTTTGCTTGATTAAAGTTGATTAGGATTGAGTGGAAGGAGAAAGGAAGAGGTGGGTGGTTTCTTTTTCCTTAAATAGGTGATACTAGGTGGGTGGCTATCAGGAATCTACCAATCACTGTACTGAAACACCCCTGTAACCCAAAGTTTAAGACAGCACCGCTATCTGGCCTTGTTGCTGAGATGTGACAAAGATAGATCTGCGGGCAGTAAAATGTATGTCAATTTTCTTTCCTCATCTTTTCTCTACCCCCAGATTGGAGATAGATTGGAGTAATTTCTATATATCCCAGTTAATTAAGGATTATGGGCATCAAAATGTCATATCAGTAGAGAGTTTTAAAAAATTTAGTCCTCTGGTCCCCTGGCTAAGTAGATACATCAAGGAAGTAACCTGCTTTTTCTCAAAGATGCTCAGACATGTGGCTTTTGAAAAAAAAAGACCCAGAAACACAAACAGAACTGAGAACACTCTGGTTCAGACTTTCTGCTGTCTATGTTGAATGGATTCTTCCAATCACTGAGGCAGAAGTTTGGGGGTTGAGGGGGTTCAACATAGGAATAATAAATGTCTGTGACTGCTATATAAAAAGTCTTACAGATTATTCCATGTCAGCTTCTCACACAAAGCATACAATAAATGCAAAAAGTCTAAGCAAAAATAGTAAAATTATAGTTTGCCCCTTTTCCTTATTCTATTGGCTTTTGAAAGCCAATAGAATAGACTCTCTTGAATAGAGTCTAATTCTATTGGTTTTCAAAAGCCAATAGGAATTGTCCAGGCTGTCTCTGCCCTGCTGAGCCCGCCAAAAGTCCCATTTTGCAAACGGTGCTGCACCAATTGAGTAGTCCTCAACTTACGACCGGTTGAGTAGTCCTTGACTTACGACCGGTTGAGTAGTCCTCGACTTACGACCGGTTGGGGGGTCGCGGCATTAAAAAGGTTGAGAACCACTGATCAAGAGGGAAACAAAGCTTGTGATAACAGTGGGTAACAGTAAAAATGTCAGTATTGTGTGTAACACTGGTAAAATAAAGTTATAATCTGTGCTAAGACTGGTTGAAGATTTTTCAAAAACCAGAAAACAAAACAGTAGCTTAAACCAGGCAAATGATGGTTCCTTTTGCCCATCTCAAAAAAGGGCATTATAAAGATACCGATCTGCAGGTTACCCATATTTAAATGACATCAAAGGCCATGTTGGTTGGGAATTGTGGGACTTATATTGCCAACACATTTTGGGGAAGGCTGATTTGACTAGTTGGAACACATGCAGTATGAATGCTTGAGGGCTTTTTCGATTAGCAAGTGATAGCTAAGAGATGGCACGGCTGAGTGAAGCTATTCTCTCTTTCTCTCACAAAGCTAGAACAAGAGTCACTATCACCTGCAGTGTTAAACTAGGCCACTGCCTGTGGGGAAAAAGTTCCAGGGTGTCTCTTTCAGCTTCTTTCTTTTGAGGATGCTGCAGCTGCAGCTTAGAAGATCATTCACTGGATGACAGTCTGCAGGATGCAATCAATCAAGGCTCTTTTTTTTTTGTTTCTATTGGTTACTCAACCATGAAGAAGAAGTAAAGAAATGCTGTATACACACAGACACACACAGACACACACACACACACATAAGCAATCAGAAAAAGGAAGACATAAAGAATGCTATACACGTACTCATGCCCTCCCCATCTGCCAGGACAGATAGACTCAATATGCTATTCCCTTTCAAGAATATATAAGCATAAAACAATGCTTTTATTTCAAGGATGGCAGCAAAAGCTTTGAAACTAGCATGCCAAATACTATATATCCTGTTAGCCAGGTATATTTTCTCTGTTGGATGTATCAGATCAAGACAATTGCATTATAAAGACTGAGTTCCCCATTCCCAGCTGATAAGCTGATATATACATATATACATATATGTATATGTGTGTGTGTGTGTGTGTGTATTTTCTGAGGTTTTCGCGGGTGTTTGTATGTAGGTCTTTGGTTATTCAGGTTTTCTCCTGCGTAAAATTGGAAGTGTCATGGCGACATTTCGACGAAGTCTCATTCATCATCTTCAGGCTGGTGTTTTCAGTTTCGTGCTCCTAGAAGCAATGTGATGAGGGGATGGGCAGTGATGCATGTGCAAGAAAGAAAAGCAGGGAGAGGGTGGATATTGGTGCTGTGGATACTTTCAGAATACAGCCCAATCAGCTGGGACCGGTAACAAGGTCCAGGAGCCGGATGCAAGCGCTGATTAATCCTATATAGGTTTCTCACATTGACTAACACTGAACCCTGATGATGTTGGTAGTTTGGTATTTATTAAATTTTTTCCAGTATTGAATTCTTCCTGGTGCTCGTGTTTTGTTTAAATCTTTGTGATATATATATATATATACCGTATATGCTGGCGTATTAGGCGACCCGGCGTATAAGACAACCCCCGTCTTTGGCGCCGAGTCGCATTCCTAGAACGTCGTCTTATAAACCAAAAACTACCAGTATTTCCGGTGTATAAGATGACTCGGTGTATAAGACGACCCCCGTCTTTGGCACCGATTTTAATGCTTGCGGAAGTCGCCTTATACGCCGGCATATACGGTATATTGGTAATAACGTTAAAAATATGAACCCTGGGTATATCCATGTTCGAAATAAAAGTGAGCACCAGGGAAGTTAAAACTATAAAAAGTTTAATTAAAAACGCCAAGCTTTCGCCGGCACCTGCTGGCATCATCAGGGCTTAAAATGCTAGGAAGTGAGGAAGTCCCTTTATAGGTCAGCTAGGGTCTGCGCCCGGCTCTTCGATCTCGTCACTGGACCTAATTGAGTAGATTGTGCTCCGGTGATCCTTTTTCCCTTTTTGCACCACTTATCTATATGTGCAATACCACTAGTCTTCCCTTCATTGGATTCTGGGTCAGGTGATATATATATATCAGCTTATCAGCTGGGAATGGGGAACTCAGTTTTTATAAATGCAATTATATATATATATATATGATCTACCTGACATCTAAAAAAAATCATCCAATCTTAGAAATAATGCATAGATACGACGGTTTCAAGATGTGCCTCTCTCAGGCCTGTCTTTTTGGTCACTGCCATGAGAAGATGCTCCCAAAGTGTTACATTTCTGCTTTCTGCTTGATCTTCTCTATCACCTTCAGAGGACCAGAAGTAGCACGTGCAAGGAGATAGATAGGTAAACAGAGTTTCCTGTTTTAGGAGGAGGCATAGACTTCTGGTGAAAAGGATATCTTGAATGTAAGCTAGTTTTCTGTATGCAACTATGCACCAAGTATATGCATAAAAGGAGCATATAATCCCACTGTTAGTTTAACTGCATGAGATCACAGAAAATGAACATCAAACTAAGGATGGGTATTAACTAAATGACAAGATCTACAACAGAATAATCTTGAGCTCTTATTTATAAGCACAGTTCCTCATTCTTTTCATTCTGCACTCCATATGTAACCAGGAGTAAAATTATTGTTCTTAAATCAACACATTTTTTCATTGCCCAGATGTTAGTGAAGGACAGGCCCTAACGCCTTCAGTAGCTGGGCCACTGGGCATCAATCAGTGAACAAAAGCCCACTGTTTTTTTCTTTCTGAAATTCTCTCCTTTCTTTAATATTTCTTTATCTCTTTCTCCCTCTTCATATTTTGCCAGCTGCTGCAGATAGACAGGTGATTTTGTTTAATGTGTTTTAAATCAACACACACAAACACACACACACACACACACACACACACACACACAGAGGGATGGAAGTTACTAATGTCTCTTCTGAAAACCCATCTCTTTCACCCATGACACCAGTTTTCTTTCCATGTATATTTTATCCAAATGGCAGAAATCCAAATAAACCTGGTGTTGTTCACAATTCTCTTCTAACTTTCAGGTTCAAATTAAATATGTCCAAGAAACATAAATAAACATGAACACAGAGATATCAGAATGAAGGATGGTTATCTCTGTCTAACCACCCATTTGAAGTTAAGGAGCCGACTTGACTTCCCTCCCTTTCTCATACACATCCCTTTAGGACAGTGGTTCTCAACCTGTGGGTCGGGACCCCATTTGGGGTCGAACAACCATTTCACGGGGGTCGCAAGACAATGCAGTCTGCCATTTTTTCCCCTTTTCCTTAGCTGTGCTACTCCCTTTTATTCTATTGGCTTTTGAAAGCCAATAGAATAGACTCTCTTGAATAGAGTCCAATTCTATTGGCTTTCAAAAGCCAATAGGAATTGTCCAGGCTGTCTCTACCCTGCTGAGCCTGCCAAAAGTCCCATTCTGCAAACTGTGCTGCACCAGTTGAGTAGTCCTCGACTTACGACCGGTTGGGGGTCGGGGCATTAAAAAGGTTGAGAACCACTGCTTTAGGAGAAAAGGATGCAGAGATGCCAAAGTGACCTGTCGAGCAATATCTTGGGAAGATCATGATTTCTTCCTTACGAAGTTAGGTTCAACAAATAATCTAGAAGCAAGGCTGGGGTGAGGGCATCCTGTAAGTATTACACCTTCCCACCTCTTGTAAACTCTGCAGAACGGATCGTGGCAGCAGTTCGTTCTTTTTTTTTACTTTTACCTATTAAAAGGCTTCAGTTTTGTGCCAGCCTAACGATGGCTGAAATATTCCAGCAATGCTGAGTATGAAGGGCGGGCGTTAGTCTCCTGCGTCAGGCACACATGCTCTGAATCTCCTCGCTTCTCTTTAGAGACCAGAGTTAACGGCGCAACCTTCCCTAATGTCACCGGAGCTGGACAGCAAACAGCGCCCAGAAATACTGGCCCGAGCGCCTCCCCCCCCCACCGCTCAACCTTTTAGGCCCCGACCAATCTAACCTGCAGCGCACCTCACCAACAGGCCGAGGTTTAGGGTCCCTTGTCTGCGCAGGTTGCCTTCTTGCCAACACTTTGCAAGAAGGCCAATCGCCAAGGAAGGGCGACCGCAATTCGGCCAGGCTTCTGGGTTTCCCCTGTCTCTCTCGGTTAGGTGGCCGATAAATAATAAAGCGGTTTGGAACTTCAAACAGGGGTTGACGGAGGAGACGCGGCTGGGGTGAATCAATTAATCAAGGCAGAGGCTGCAGGTCTGGGCGGAGAAAGTGGAGGCTTGGGGGGGGGGGGCGAGAGAGAGAGAGAGAGAGAGAGAGAGAGAGAAGGGGTGTGGTGCCTTTGGGGCTTCTGCACCTATCCATCTCTCCAACACCTCCTTCAAATCAGTCCCGATTCCTACCGAGTTCAGAGCCGCGCGGCTGCCTAGAAGGAAAGCCGAAGGCAGAGAGAGCCGGGAAGCTCTCTGATCTCGCTCCCGGGACGAACATCAGACGGCAGTTCTACCAAGCCGAGGGAGGGGAACCCCGCTCGCCCGTCGCCGCTAGAGACAGCAGAGCTGAACCCAGCTGCAGCTTCCCCCGAAAGGTCAGGAGCCGCACAGCAGCGGCCGGCCGGAGCCAGGGAGCAACTCCGGAGAGACCGAATCGCTCCCCCCCCCTCTGCAAAGCGGCAGAGCCCGAGCGCGAACCGTCAGCGGGAAGGCGAAGAGCAGCGGCGAGAGCTTCCGCCCCCCCCCCAACCTAACCGAGGAAGGGCGAGCCTGGGCAGAGCTGAAAAGCCGGCGAGGGCGGTTCAAGGAGAGCTCTGCCGCTTGTTAGCTGAAGATGCTGCTGCTGCTCCCGCTGTGGCTGTTGCTGCCGGAGCTGGCTCTCCTGGCGCCGGCTCAGAAATTTTCAGCGCTGACGGTAAGGCAGCCAGGCTGGCTGGGGAACCTCCGGGCTGCTTCCTTCTCTTCCCTCTCGTCGCCGCGCCGGGGCAGCAAAACCCTCCCGCCGTCTCTCGCCCCGCGCTGGCCACCGGCTTCCCACCCCTTCGCTGAACCCGTTTGCCCAAGCGGGAAAGCTGCCCTGCAGTCGGGAAGCTGCGGCTTCGCTGGTCTCGGTGCCCAAAGTCTGCCCCGTTTCTTCCATGTATTCTTTCCCTCTCTCGCGTATTGGCTGAAATCCTCACTTGAGGATTGTTTTTAAAGCAAAAAAAAAAAAAAAAAAAATAGGGCTCCGGTGCTTAACGCTAAACCTAACCCCCTCCCTTTAAAAAGGTGAAACCAGCAATCGTGGCTTGTAGATCTCTATCTTCTCCTCACTGCCCCTAGGACTGGTAGCCTTCGTTTGATAATGTATATATTTTATTAGAAGAAATCTTAAAGTGGGCATCATCCTTAAGGAATCGTGTGCGCACAGACGTGCTTGTTTGAAGTTAGTTTGGTAGTCCCCGCGGATTTTTCATAGTCATCTTCCCACAACCAAGGAAACATGACTGGGCATCGATTTCCCTGTGCCTAATGGGCGCTGCTATTTACATCAGTTCTGCTGGGAGTATCGGGAGAGATCGAAGGGGCATTAATAAGATGAATTAATACTGAGTAAACATCTGTGCCTATGGGTATCCTCTGCCAGGTATCGTAAAGTAATTGAGAGCAATGCAGCTTATTGAGTTCGCGTTCAGGTTAAAGACACGTCAGTGCTGCATTTAGGATTTATTTAATCCAGTTTGGTTCTACTGAAAGCGCTTGGACTAAGTACAAGTGCAAGGAAAGTGGTTAAGTGGTTTGGGTTTGGCAGCTTGCTGGAAATCCTCGGGGAATTGCAAACTAATAGCCTTTTGAAAAGGGGACAGAGTGAACTACAGATTTAAGAGTCTGAAACACTGATCCTAAAAACGCAATGAGTTGGAATGCGATTAAATGTTCCAAGATTTTAGGGCAATTTACTGCGAAGGAGTAACTTGAAATCCTGTTGCTTGGCGATCGAGTCCACTCCAGTGAATGGGATTCGCTTTCACTTTCTAGGTAGATGCTCCCTGCTTATTTTTTTATTTTTTTTAAAAAAAGGAAAGTGAATAGGACGCAAACTGGTGCTGAATAGGCTTGATAAAGATCCAGCGTCGCACGTAACCACTGGGCACGGTGCAAAGGAACCTGGCTGTGCTTATCTATGCTCTTTTGAAACTCAAAGAACTTTTAAGCATTAAGCCTAATGAATGAATGAATCTAATGCAGGGGTTCTCAACCTTGGCAACTTTAAGACTTGTGGACTTCAACTCCCAGAATTCCTCAGCCAGCTTTGCTGGCTGAGGAATTCTGGGAGTTGAAGTCCACAAGTCTTAAAGTTGCCAAGGTTGAGAACCCCTGATCTAATGTCTAACCCATGATTAACTTTCTTTGAGTCATTTCCAATACGCTTCACATAGCACCAAATGATTATTGTATTTCCTGAGCTATCAATTCATCAGGTGTTTGAACTTGTTTTGGTGGGTGGAATGGATATTCATTATCCCATTGATGCACTGAGGATTCACTGAAACCGTGGGCAGAAACCCAGTTCTTCTTAGTCGTTTCAGTTACCTTTCTCTCTTAGTAGGAATGCTTAGAAGCACCCCGATCGTTCTGATTTGTGAATCATTTCTTTCAAAATACTTCCAGGCAGTTGCTGTGTTGCCAAGAAGTAGCAGTACGGTAGATGGGCAACAGCTTTGGGTAGGCTAGTTTTATAAAAAGACCAACCATCATTTCCCTAGGAAAACTCAGAGTTATAGAAGTTATATTTTGTAAAGTGATGGTTTCCTTTAACTGCCTGGACAGCCTTTCTCTAAAGCAGTGTTTCTCAACCTTGACCATTTTAAGGCATGTGGACTTCAACTCCCAGAATTCCACAGCCAGCATTGCTGGCTGTGGAATTCTGGGAGTTGAAGTCCACATGCCTTAAAATGGTCAAGGTTGAGAAACACTGCTCTAAAGCAACATACTCTTGCTTTAGAGAGCAGTGGGTGTCCTATCTCCAGCTTGACTCCCAAGTTAGTTGGACTGTTCAAAACCAAATATTCTATTGAGCATTCATTTATTCATGACGCCTTTAGCCACCCACTGACTAGTTATTCTACACAAACAATATCCAATAGAAGACAGCATGAAGGTTCAGAAGGATATCCCCTCTTCCAGTATTGGCTGAGAATACTTAGAAAAGTTAGTTGACTCTCTTTTCCTAAACCTTCCCACTGCCCTCTGCCGTGAGACAGAAGACTTCCCTTCCTCAATCTTTATGCTGGGGGAAAAAGAATAACTCTCTTTGTGTTTGTGTGTGTGTTCCCCTTGATACGATGGATCTCTTAGTTACATTTCTGGCCCATTATAATGGGTTATATGTGCTTCCGGTATCCTTGTATATTTTAATCACTACAGAGGTACAGCTACACAAATGTAAAAACAGGTGTATAGCAAGCCTGAGTGGTATGTTGCTTCTGATTTAGCTGCTTAAATCCAGTGGATTTCCAATGGGAATCAATTGAATACATCTGTCTACAGGTTTATAGCTTTAGGACAGTGGTTCTCAACCTTTTTAATGCTGTGACCTCCAATCGGTCGTAAGTCGAAGACTACTCAACCGGTTGTAAGTCGAAGACTACTCAACTGGTGCAGCACTGCTTGCAGAATGGGACTTTTGGCGGGCTCAGCAGGGCAGAGACATCCTGGACAATTCCTATTGGTTTTTGAAGGCCAATAGAATTAGACTCTATTCAAGAGAGTCTATTGTATCGGCTTTCAAAAGCTGATAGAATAAAAGGGAGTAGCACAGCTAAGGAAAAGGGGGAAAAAATGGCAGACTGCATTGTTTGGCGACCCCTGTGAAATGGTCGTTCGACTCCAAATGGGGTCCCGACCCACAGGTTGAGAACCACTGCTTTAGGACATGACTTGAAAGCATCCCTGGAGGTATTGTCTGAATGTTACAACTGGCTTATAGCTTAGGCAGAAAGATGATGATGATTGGTCCATAAGAAGATAATCAGCCGTGCTGATTTCAAAAAGGCAGCCATGTAGGCTGCATGTGAATTGACATTTACATACCCATCTATACTTTTGATTTTTTGGGGGGGGGGTTTCTTTCAACAGATCATGATTTGTGAGCCAGTAGCAAAATATAATCAGAATTGTGGTACAATATCATAAATTAAAATGCTCTTTTGTATTGACTCTCATTGTCTAATCAATTAAAGTTTTATGTCATTAATTTTCAAAGTAAACCAATGCAATATGCTGATACAATGCTAGATTACTGATTGATCATTGCACTTTAATTGAGTAATCACTTGTGAAGTTTCAGGTTCTTTTACTCATTGGGACTTGGGCTAGATAATCCTTGTGGTGCTTATTAAGTTTACAAGTCTACAATTTTTTGACCTTTTTCAGCACACCTTAATTGCACAAAATGAGCTGTGTTAGCAAAGAGCATTGTCTTTACTGACATAAAGATAATAAATAATATAAATATTATAAACCTGATATAAACCCGAAGTTATGGACAGACCAGTTCTGGAGAGCTCAGACAGTTCACACTTTTTGGTGAGGGCTGTTTGACAACAAAATGTAGCCTGCTGGTAATAATACAGTACATGACTGCTCTTTGTTTTATTAGGAGTGATTTTATAAGCTGCATCAAGATAATAGAATAACAGGACTTTGATCATGCAATCACATGAGTAAAAAGGCTAAATTAAAGCCATAAGAATGGTCCTTCTTAGTTACAATCTATACAATTCAGAGAGAAGATGCATTTAAAAGGCAGCTGAGCTATTGATTGTAAAGTAAATAATTTGCATAGTAAAATGATTTGGGTTAAACTTTATGCCCTTTTCAAATCAACTTTCACAACTAACCTGTTTACTACAGACTTTGTGATGACCATAGATTAATTCCAGGGGCAAAATGTCTTCTTTTGTGCTAGTTTGAAATAACTACTTTTAAACTCATAAAATGCCTTAAAATCTGGGGGTTATTTAAGAGTTGGAGGTTTAAAGAGTTGGAACTCTGAGAAGGAACGGTATTGTAGACATTCTGTTTATAACATTCACAAAATGGACACATTTATCTTAGCCTTTCAGTAAATGAGAGTTTCTGCTATACAGTACCATAAATGTTATCTGGCAATCATTTTTTGTGTAACTCAGAATGAGAATGGCTGGATCATTCATGCCCGACATTCTTCAGAAGGGGTTCCATTCTTTTTGCAGACTTTATGGGAAAATGATTTTTGGGTTAAAAGCTAGCAATTGGCAACCTTAAAGAAGCTCCAAAAACTTTATGGTATGTGATTTCTGCAAGGGCAAATCATAGTAAATTAGGTAGACATTGACAAGTTTTCATCCATGGGGTACTACATTTGAATGTTTGGCTTAAAGTATTTTACATTAAGTCATATAGAGTATTTTTCCTCCAATTTAAATTTATATCTCATGCCATACTTTTGTGCTTTATCACAAAATTTCTTGATTTTAACAAAAAAAGGTATGTGTAATACAAAAGGATCAGTACGTTTCACTAGTAGTAATTTTATCTTACAGGTTAGCAGAAGGGTTCAGAGAGGTTTGCAGCTGCCTAAATGTGATTGGAATTCAGCTACTTCTAGAGGGGAGATCGTAGCCAGGGGATGGGGAAGCAGAAAAGAGGGAGAAAAATAAATTTTGGCTATGGATGTAGGTCATATCATTGTTTGATAAATGAGGTCAAAGGTAGAAAAGTGACTTGCTAGAAAAAAATGAATGATTTCTAATAACTGAGCAATAATTGAAACATTTGCGTGTTCTGGTACTGTCAGTATACTAGTTATGAATCATTGTCAGGGCCCATTTCAAAACCTCATCCCAGGAAAGTAGAACTCGTGGAAGCAGTTTCTTCCAAAAGAATCTTCCC